CCCCAAAACCCCAAAACCCCTAGCAAACAATCTACATTGGGAAATTGGAATATCGAAATTTAAGAATTAAAATAATTTCTTGAAGAAAAACTAAGGATTATTAGAAGTAATGAGGAAAAAAATTGGGGGTTAAAGGTTTTACGTAATTAATTTGGTATCATCGTTATCTTAATGGGAGAGAAGTGACCTCAGGTGAAGATTATTCTCTCTTTTGATAGTAGTTTTTGTGAATATTTACAATGAAACTTGACAATTAAACCAAACAAAATGAGTGCTAATACATTTGTCACTCATTAAATGGTATCTTGTCTCATAAAAGTCTACCTCTGTAGGGTACTTCTTCTATTTCAAAGTTGACTGGGAGCTTTGGTGGTGTAGTATCGTATGTCAAGTATGTGAGTCCCTTAGGCTTTGCTGTGGAAAGCTCAGCAGTGTTGTCTGCTAGTTCAGCAGCGTCCATTTAGTCCATTTGAGTTGGGCATACCTCCTTAAAATAAGTGATTCTTCTCAAACTATCTGTTGTGTAGTTGGGAAGACAGATATCAAAGAAACAAGTATTTTCTTAAGCTTCAAATGCATGTAAGTTGTTCCTTGAGGGTCTCACCATTAAGAATTGTGGACCGTGAAGAATAGTCTTGTTGACAAGCTTTGCTGAGATTGTTTTCTTGTTGCCCAATATTTCCTGATACTCGTCCAGAGAGAATCGATTGTATTTGAATTTATCGTCAAGCTTGTCATAAGATTTGTAATCTAGTTTTCCAAAAAGTAGTCTGAAAAATACGCACATGTTAGGATGATCATGTAGAGGCATGATTGTTCCCTTCTTTATGAAGAATAGCACTAATCTGTAGTCATCACTCGCTTCTATAGTTATGCGGTTCAAGCCCTTCTGGAAGTGATAAGGATCATCGGGTCCTTCAATGCCTAATTGATCAAGAGTCATTGTGTTCATTTTTTCAATTAATCTTTGGCAGCCAGGATCATTCCAAGTGTGATCAAGGAATTTTATGCTATTTCCAGCTGCTCTGGATCTAACACTCATAGTTTTCACAGTTTCTATCAAGGCCTTCATTTCAACTATAGGGCGTAAATTTAGCTATTAAAGAATAAAGTTATTATTAACTAACTTAAATTAATAGTTAATGAAGAAACTTAAAATGCGGCTGCAGAGCTATAATACTCTCAGTTAAAATAATTATAACTTCTTGAATAAATTATTTACCTTCGCTTTATAAAATTCTTATTAATGCTTGCTGGGGTTTTGGGGTTTTGGGGTTTTGGGG